TTGGGCCGGTGTGCAATTCCAACACTCAGAATAATAAACAAACTGTTCTGGTGGTTGACCAGTTTTCTTCTTTGGGTGTTATTTTAACGAACTCTGATATTTGTTTTTTGTCTGACACATTTGGCAACCACGTGTGCAGCGGAAACCGATGGGCCTTGCAACGGGGACAAACCCACAAAATTCTGAAATAATCTTCCTAATATCCACTTTGTGACTAATTTGAATCAACGCTTTTAGTACCTCTTTTATGCGACTCGTCAGTTAATTTCAATGATCTTCTGCCCCTACTCGGTTGTTCTTATTTTGAATAACGAATTTAAGCAACACTGAGGGAGTCAACGCGACCTTCGTGAAAAAAGTAGAATGGGTTGTGAGTTGTCGCACGATTTGGCTATTCCCACTTTCGCTTACTTCTCTTTTGATCTTGAGTTATATTTACCTAGCGTCTGAATGCCTCTTTTGATGTCCACTACATCGGTCATGTAGCAGTCCAGAGATATGACCTACCATTTTCCGTTCTTTTTGAAGCTCGTCCAGGAGAAGGCTGACCTTCAAAAGAGCCTGCTTTACTTCGAAAAGGTTCACGGTCGTCCGTCGGATTCAAACGAAAGACGGATCATGAAACCTCTATACGATCGCTATCGCCATGTGCGTCGCCTGGTCCGTTGCATGCAAAGCTCGAAACGGACGAAGTCACTCAGCCTCTACCGATCCGAAGACCACACTATTCCCACTGTTCTTACCACTTCCGCGCACTCTTACACTCCAGATGCCGGGCTTCCTATTAAACGAGCCTCACCACCCCGTCCGCGTGCTCCAGAGGTCATCCAACCGGAGGTTCGCGTCTGCGATACCATAAAGGTTGAGGTAGAGGCTGGTGAGAGCTCGACGCTGGATGCCTGCGCAAGTGAAAGTACACTTAGAAACCTCTCCAAAACAGACTTCCCCGAGCTGCCAGTGGGTATGATTCTGGACGACACCTCGTCATCGTTGTTAAGGTAAGTATCGATATCAGTAACTTGACATTCATAGGTCTAAAGTAGTGCTGATTGTGTGCACGTAGACGTACTTATACTTCTTTTTGAAATCGGTAGCACTAAACATAAGGCATTTAGAGACGGTGCATCTCATACTCCGTGTCAGATTACCGGGCCTTTGAAATTACCTTCGCTCTTCCTTTCGCTTTATCCTCTTCCCACTGGCTACCACCACAACGGCGACACCCATTTGGAGGCGGTTTTTGGATAAATGATTCCACGCACGGTGAAGTGACTGAACTACCTGACGCCGTGACTTTTCATATTCTATATAACCCATGGCTGGCTGGCTAGTAGCCCTTGTTAGATCAGGAGCCCGGCGGGGTGGGCCTCAATCCCGGCGGCGAGAAGGAGA